GCCGAGCAGGGAGCCCGATGTGGGACTCGATCCCAGGACCCTGGGATCATGACCTGAGCCGAAGGCAAACGCTTAACGACTGAGCCACCCAGGCGCCCCCAGTGTTAGTTTCTAACTTAAAACCCTTGCAAATTTCAGAAAGACATTCTGCCTAATTTCCTAACAACTGTGTAACAAACAGATGATGGTAAACTAAATTATACCTTAGAGAATCATCTAGTCCCCTGAAACTGTATGTATGCACACAATTGTACATACGTAAACTCAGTATCCAGTCAGGAGTTTTAGCATTAAACTAGTTACATCTAAAATGTACATACAGACACACCATGGGGAAACTTACTTTAGTTGTTCTGGAGGGCTCTGGGTTTACACCTTCATTTCCCCTTCCCCCAGCTGTAGTCATGAAGGGAATCTGTTCACCACCAGGACTTTCTCTGAGCTTTTCCTGTGGTGTCTTCTCATCCATCTTTATTGTAGGGTATTTGAGCGGCATTGGCTTTTCTTCACTGGTCTCTGGAATAGGGGGACTAATGGTGGCATCCTGTTGTTCTGCCCTCTCTTTTTGAGACCCATCTTTGAACAGTTTCTCCGAAAGAAGGGATGCTAAGACCCTGGGAACATCCTGAGTCACCATGCCTTTAGAAGATGCTGCTTCGACATCTGTAACTATAGGGTTTGACATTTCTAGAAATGTGTCTCCAGTCATTTCCTGAGTTGTTATTTTAGATGTGAGAATTCCACAAATTTCACTATCACTTCTGCTGTCCTGATGATGAAAGTTCTTTCTGTCTGAGAATTCCAGATAACTGACTTCTTCTGGGTCTACTGTAGAAACTGTAGTTTCTTCTAATTTAAGAATTCTTGTTGAGTCAAAAGGTATTTCCTGGTATGATCTTTCTTTATATTCATTAGATGAGCAAATCAGATCTTTGGTTTCTTTGGTCTTAAAAGTAACACAGGAATCTTGACAAGAGTTGGTCTCCGGTCTGATGGTTCCTTGGAAAGGTTTGTTTGATTCAGAAATTTGGGACCTGCCTGCAACTTGGGCCTTTCCAACTGATTCCTGGTAGTATAATCCTTCAGGTCTTGGGGCTGTAGAAGAGAATGGTTCACTCTGGGCCCCACCAGTAATTTGAGATAAATTTTCTTCCGGTTTTAAAGTTGAGAGGCTTAAATTTTTTACTTCTCCTTCATGGACCTGATTAGGTTTGAAGAATGTTAAAACATCCTGATTTACAGAAATTCCTCTGGGTATCACTGGGGAAGAGTTTTCAGCTTTACAAATAAATCCCAGTTCTTTACCAGCTTCTTCTCCCTTTTCATTTATGCTTATTTCCACAGGTGGAGTCTCTACATTGGATCCCTGGTCAGCTCCAATGGTGGTTTCTTGATTCAACTTTTCTTCAGAAAGAACTGGTTTGCGTGTTTTGACACTTTCTTCTATAATCACCTCCCTCTTCTCCCTCTTCCTTTTCTCCCTGGTATTCATTGGTTTCTGCATAACCTGCTCACTCAGCAATTTGCCTGAAGTTTCATAATCTGATTCTTGCACTTCTGAAATAATTCTTCCTTGGCTTTCTCTTATTTCTTTAGGATCTGGACCTGATATAGACTGTTTCATATGAGAAGTAATTTCCATTTGTGCCTCTATGTTTTCCTGCTCTTCGTTTGTGTTTTTTTCCAAGTCATCCCTAGCCGCTTCTTTGAGTTTAAAATCATGACTTTCTGGGTGAGAGAGTATCACTGAACCTTGGCCCAACGATGTATCTTTATGATCACCAGGAATGCTGATACTGACAGATTCTTCAGCATCTGGAGAAGTTCTCCTTTTATCTTGATCCTTGTATTCCAATTCTTTTAATGAAATTTCCCTGCTCTTTTTGGCCTGCCCCCCGTCAGAAACTCTTGTTTTAACCTTTCCTTGTGCAGACTGACTTCCAATCTCAAATAATTTCTCACTTGCTCCTTTACCATAACTCATTCCAGCTGTCTGATTGCAAGCAACTAACGTTTCCTTTCTTAGAAATTCCTTCTCTATTTCACATACTTCAATCCCATCTTGCTTTTCAATCTGAGCCCCATGATCGCAGGACTCTAAAGTATCTACCTGGATCATAGTTGCCAGTTCAGGGCTGATAAATCCTTTCTCAACAGCTTCCTTTAGAGTCACTCTCTGATCATTAAATATGTCAACAATTCCTCCATTTAATACCTGATGAGTTGCAATAATTCTTACCATGTTTTCATCTACTAATTTCTGTTCCAAAGCTGATGCCAATGTCAGTCTTTTCCCCGTGGCAGTATCTATGATTCCCCCGGTATTTGCCTGAGCTTCCAGAACCTTCAGTGTAGATATAAAGTCCACTTTTCTAAGCTGAGCTGCTTGGGATAACGTAAGCACTTTGTCACTTGTTTCATCTTTAATGTCTGAGAAGGGAATTACTTCTAGATATCTCTGTCCAGATTCAATATCAATCTTACATTTCTTTACTAATTCTGAATAAGGAACAATTCTGTAACTTTCAGGATCTATAATCCCATGCATCATTCCTGAAGACAATATTGCTTTATTAGTAGTTAACAGTCCTTCTTTTTCAGCTTCTGCCAAGGTCAATCTCTGGCCAGAAATGAGATCCACAAAGCTTCCAGTCAAAGCCTGTATTTCTTGGATTTCTCTTTTCAAGTCTGGGGTAAGAAGATCTAATTTTATGGCTTCAGGAAGGGAAACAGTGTCCTTGGTTTCAGGGTGAAAAAACTGACAGAGGCTTACGTTCTCAACCTTTTTGAGTTGCTTGGCTAAATCTTCATCAATGATGCCATGTTCAAAGGCATTATCAACAGAAAGTCTCATTCCAGATATATGGTGAATGATACCTCCATCTACCACCTGCTTAGTCAACAACTGAACAGCCTCCTCTCTCTCCAGAAGTCCTCTGTCAATGGACTGCATGATTGTTAAAGGAGCTCTGCTATCAGGGTCCATAATTCCAGTTGTTTCCATTTGTAAGCTAATAAATCTCTCCCTAACTGTTTTCTCAGCATCTCTGCCTTTGGAGGCTTTCTCCAGATTTATAAGTTCTGTCTGGTCAGCACTGTCTACCAAGCCAAGATTTGAGGCCAGAGTTACCGAAACCTTTTTGCCTCGTTTCAGGTCAACAATTCCACCAGTCACCACCTGCCCCTCTAAAATTCTGGAGGCTGTTTGTGTGTCAAGAAGTCCAACTGTAACTGCTTCCTTCACAGAGCAGAGTGTGTGGGTACGGGGGTCCAAGACGCCACTTATGGCTTTGTCTGCCATGAGGACATTATGTAATAATTTCTCATCCATCAGACCTTCATCAATGACCTCTTCAGTGGTCAAAGACTCGCAGGTCTGAGAGTCAAAGAAGCCCCGGAACATGTTCAGTTTTCCCATAAGTTTCACAGCAGTGTGACTGGGCACAATACCTCGGGCTATTGCTTCATTTAGTAAGAGCTTCTGACCTGTTTGCTCGTGAATGATACCACCATCTAGTAATTGTGCAGATAATGTATTTAAGGTAGCTTCTTGGAGCAATTCTGAAGGATGACTGTATGACAGGGAGGTTTCATGACCACTGTCTTCCACATCTGTCTTTCCTAAAGTCATCACACTACCGCCTACAGTGTTGTGTCCTTCTGGATTTTGTTTATGGTCATCCCTATCCGAAAATGTTTTATTTAAGCTTTTCTTTTTGTCTAGAGTATGAATATTCATGTCATTTTCAGACCTTAGTTCTGATTCTAAATCTAGAGTATTCTTTACCTGAAATTGTGACCTTTTGCTTTGGGGTTTTATGAGTGGCCCTCCAGTTTCAGGTGTGTTTGCTCGTGCTGTCTGACACAGAAAAGAAGTCTTTCCGGGAGTCTGCCATTCTTCCCTCAGTGTCTCGACAGGAAAAGGATCTTTGCTTGCCACCAAGGTCACATCTTCAGCTTCCTCAGTGGGTACCATAAGGAGAAATCCCCTGCTAACATTTTCTCTGGTGGACATTCCTGTTAGTTCTTCCTTTTTGGTGCCTAGCAATTGCCCTTTTAACTCTGATTTGCCTGTATCTGTGACCATCAAAGTATCAACATTTGGATCTCTCACTTTTTGTTCCCCCACAAACAGGTCTCTCTCAGGGTTCTCCATAGTGGAAGCTTCAATTTCTACAGTGGTCCTTTTGCCTTTTGCTTCAGTGCAATCTGCCTGATTAGGATATTCTTCACTCTGAAAAGAAAGCTGGAACTCACATGGCCTTACATTCAGCCCATCACAGAAAGTTTCTGTGGTTTTGACATTCACTGATTCTTGTAATTCCTCAGGAGTTTCTAGTCTCTGATGCCCAACTTCCAACACTTCTGGAGGGCTTGCTTGATATTCACCTCTTGCTGTCAGTGTCTCCATCAGCTCGTTGTCTAAAAGGAGCAGCCTCTGTCCATCTCGCACATTGATATAGCTGTGAGTCATCAGCTGAAACAACAGCTTCTCGCTAGGGCTTACTATGCCCTCAGTTCGGCTCTGGCTCCGTGGCAGACCTACTGCTCCAGGATTAATGTTCAATTTGCATCGTTCTGAAGAATCTGCCAATTGCATGTGGGGCATCACATCAGGTATGCAAATTGATTTTAAGTTATTGACAAGATCTTTATCCAACATACCATCTTCTACTGCTTTTTTCCAGGACCAAACCTCTGTGCTTGCTGGTAGAAACAGAGCTTTAATATGCTGTCGGCCACTAAGGATTTTATGAGCTAGTTCCGTAGACACAATACCTTGTTCCAGGGCATCTGTGATTGGGAGGATTTCTCCAGATTCAGGCCACAGCAAGCCCATGAATGACCAAAGAGACTCCAGAATCACAAGGGCAATCTTAGGAGCTACCAGATCATTGTTCACTGCTTCATCTATTGTCAGCCTATGTCCAGTGACGGTGTCTATGATGCCTCCTGTCTGAAGCTGCCTTATGAGAATAGCACAGGCCATATCTTGGTCAATTAAATTATGTCTTACAGCCTCTTCCACAGTAAGCCTATGCCCTGTTCTTGGATCCACTATGCCACCAGCAAAAAGCTGAGCTTCCAGCAGCCGGACAGTGACCTGTCTGTCTATTAGGCCTTCCTGAACTGCACGGAAAATGCTAACCTTCCGGCCTGACTTCAAGCTCACCATTCCCCCTGCCAGCTGCTTGACAGGCAGAAGTTTCAACCCTGAGTCCTGGTGGACAATACATCTCTGCATCAGGTCCAGCAAACTGACTTTCTCAGCTGTGTTGGGGTCTATCAAATTCTTGGATGATTTCAGGTAAGACTCTAACAGTGAGTGAAGCCTTGCAGAAATGAGGCCTTGGTGAAAAGCCTCCTCTAGGTTGACGCAGCTTTTATTAGGGGGGAGACTGAAACCTCCAGTTGCCAGGTGAACTTCTAAGACTTTCAGTCCAACTCTCTCACTGATTATTTTCTTTTCAATTGCTTCCACCACCGAAAGAAGGCCTTTGCTCTCAGGAAGCCTGCTTATTAAGGACAGGGCATCCTGTAGCTCTTGGAACTGCTGGTACATCTGGGGGTTAATGAGGTTTCTGGCTAGACCTTCCTCCAGAGTGAGCTTTTCACTGGTCTCAGGGGCAATGAGGCCAGACATGATAACCTGGGATTCCAGGAGCACAAGGCCTGTGTCTTGGTCAATGAGGCCCTTTTGCATGGCTTTGAAGATGGGAAATATCTCCACTGTGCCTAGGTCAATCACCCCAGCAACTGCTCTGCAACCCTAAAAAAAATGAAAAAGAAAACTGAATCAGAGAAGCCCAGCTATTGAAATGATTCATTCAAAGAACTATAGTATATCAAATTCTGACCACAAGAAAAACCCAGCCTGGGATGAGCCCCAATGTGTAAGAAACACTCTAAAGCCTGGCAGCATTAATACTAAGAAAGAATTTGTCTAAACTGCAGAATGTTGAACATGGCCAGAAGTTCACAGATTACTTGACGGATGGTAGCATTAAGCATATCTTAGTGACAAGCTCTACAAAGTGGCAAGCAGTGAAAGCGAAAGGTCAACTATTTCTAAGACTAAATCACCACAAAGGTTCTTCTAGAAATATACCATTCCCCAGAAGTGAGAAGTCAACTCTATACAGCAACTTCTCAATGTAGCAACCCATGCGGAAGACTCTTGAAAGAGTACTTCCGTGCTAGTAAGTTCAGCAGGAACAGTTCACAGGATTAGAAGAAAGATTCAAGTAGGCCAGTAGCCACACAACAGGTATGCATCTCCAGAAACAGCCCAGTGTGTAGTACTCAAGCAGCTGTTTTACAGTTGGGGCAGTCATGGTCAGTGGCCACTGTTAGCGCCTCCCAGGGCAATGGCCCTGAGTTAAATCAGTCCCGGGAACTGGAAGTAGCAAGTTAAGGAAGGAACAGACTGGGGACCTTTGCCTCCGGGACCACTAGCCACTTTTCTTCTGGTCCAGGCTATAACGGAGAGTACAAGCACCAGCTTACAGCTATCACTTGTGGGGCACTTAATACATGTACTGAGTGCCGATATTTAATCCTCACAACAATCCTACGAAAGCAATTATTTTAATCTTCAGTTTGCAGATGAGAAAATGAGGCACAGCGAGGTTATAACTCGTCCAAGGTCACAAAATAAGTGAGTTCCAGAATCAAATCAAGGTCTGACTCTAAATCTTATTATACTGCCTCCCCCATCAGATCCAGAAGAACATGAAGGATGGGTCAGTAGAGTTGCATCATACACAAGAGTTAGGTCCTAAGTCCAGGAAATAAGGCAAATCTTATACATTGCCAAAGTTACCCTTGCATAAAGACCTAAAAACAGCTCCTAGGAGAATTCCTATTTTGAAGCCTTTTATCACAGAATGACGGTATTCAGAAATTAACTCATTCAAGTGTTTTGCCACTTAAAACACTTTCATTACTCTCAAGTTCCTACCTCCTTTTGTTGACGTTCATTATTTTCTATAGATCATTTTGTCTGTCCCTCTTTGGTCAGTATTACTTTCTGATCCTTATTTAACTCTTGAACTTATCCATGGAGCGTGTTGTTGTAGCAACTGCCAATCACTTCCCTGCCTCCTAAATAATGCATTTCATTCTGTCTCAGTGAGAGTCAGCTCTGTAAGAGCAGGTACTTTACCCATTCAGTGTCTAGGAACATTTGCTGAATTAATGAATAAATTGGTAAATAGTAAGGAAACATTTAAAATCCTTAAGCTGCTTGCCCCTAGATTTTAAAGACATATATCGAGGATTTCAAATTCAATTAGTTGCACGCTTTAAGAGACAAAGAATGGAGGGCAAATGTGGGAACACATTGGTTCACATCCCTATCTCACTGTATTTGTTCAAATAATGGAGTAACAGAATTCTCCACACTACTTAAAATATTACGTGTTGTTCCCTATCCCCCTCCTGTGTTCTGACCTAGAAAGTAGTTCAACTTGTATAAAGCAAATATATGTTATGCGAGTCTACCAGCTGTCTACAGAGACTGAAGGGAAAATCACACTGCATAGGCCTCTGAGATATATGAATAATCCCTTTTACAAAATCCATGTCAAGATGGTTCAGAAGCAGACAAGACGACAGAGGAAAAGATTCTTTTGAAAACTTGGAATTTCTTCTCTGAGAGTCCTTGAGTCTCAAAGATGCTGGTATTGAAGAAAGACCTGGAGTCTGGCCAGTTGCTAGACAAAGAGAAAAGACTACATGCTGTTCCTTCCAGTAGTCTCTTAATTGAAGGACAGGCAGGAAGCACTGAGCTGGGAAATAATCCAGAGAAATCCAGTTCAGTCCCACCAAACATGGGCATTCTGACCTAAACAAGCAGAGCAAGGCAGAGGGAGAGTAGGAAGGGAAACATAAAAGGCTTCTACTTACCAGAGTCGCAGCACGCCTTGGGCAGATAGAGAGAGAGCCTTACGGAGCAGCTCAGCCGCATCGCACACACAGTGTAAGCTTGGGGTTAGCGTCCAGCATGCGACTGTTTGTTTTTTTGCAAAAAAGAACCCCAAACAGGTCGTCCTCTTTTCCCTTTTGTGCATTTGTGCTTAAACTCCAAAGGGTTAGTGAAACTTGTAAGCAAGGATGTCAGTTAATCAGAACAATACTTCACATGAAACACACGAACAGTAACAGGGGACACATCATGCTCAATGTAGTGGTGCTTGGCCGCTTGGCTTTCTTTTTTCTCTCCCCCTTTTTAACCTTTCAAAATGAGAACTGGGTGTTCTCAGCAAGCAATTGTTAAAACTTTTCACATACTCCCTTTATGGTGAAGCAATAAGCCATTAAAAGTGGGCTACCTTACATAGAGAATGCTAAACCAGCACATTCTTTTTGGAAATCTACTCTCAAATAAATCAGTTGGTTCTGTCTTGTGGTCTTTACAACTCTAGCTCCTGATGCATCAATTTCATATCCAAGGACCAGAGTCAAAGCATGTTTTGTCTGAATATCATTTTGAGCATCATCTAGACCAAATCTGATAGCCACATGACCTTAAATTTTGACCTGCCCCACATATGTTGGCCATTGCTTCACAACATAGGAAATAAGCAGGCAAACACACATATATATCCCAAAGACACATGTATATAATATGGTAAGTTTACATATACACACAGGTATCCAGGAAGAACTGAGGACAACCAGGAGGAACTTGACAATTTTCATATGGTCCAGGAAGTGAACATGAGTGGGAATTGGTAAAGATGTCACATGATGGGATGACTATGGGTAAGGGGAACCAGCGTCTCAGTCAGTACAGCTAATCCACCAGTTGGCTTGGAAATGAACATTTCTCATTATTTAGTAGATATGAAAAAAAGTGTGGGGGAAGAGGACACGGCTTTTTCTTCCCAATATTCAGAACTTTTGGCTATCAACTTTTGAGTGACAATGCCATGAAGGAGTACTCTTGCCGCCCTGTGATCAGATATAATACAGGATTTATGTTCTCCTCAATTGTGGTCTGCCACAAAATGCCAGGCAACAGAAATGGTGAACCAGGGTCTACAGGGTTGGCCATGAGTGCCTTCTAGTATTCTTGACTGACCAATACATCATGGAACCCCAGTAAAGAAACACAAGACAAATGGCTGCTATGGTGAGGTTAAAAATTAAGTCACATTGGTCATGGAAAGCTAGTGAACATGATTCTCAAACAGCAAAGCTGCTTTCATACCATTTGAAAGGTACTCTTCCCATTTGGAGAAAGAAACTAAAAGTACCTTTTGTTCTGTCTGCTGGGCCAACTGGCTCTGAAGTTGCTGAAGTTGGTTTGCTGAACCATCACAAAGGTCATGGTAAGCCTTATTCAGGGCATTCATCTGCTCAGATATTTGTTCCTTCTCTTTTTCTGAGAGCCTGGAAGATGGAACATTGAAGCTCTTTTAGAGAAAAACCTTTCTCCCAACTGCCCTCTATTGCTTCAAAATCATGACTTCTCCATCTTGGATGGTATTCTTCTTTGTCACTGTTAACTATGGATCATCTGGTCACTCTTCCATATTCACTGAACACTTTGGCTTCTGGCTGATATCCCTGTCTATCTCAAATCAAGTCATGGTTCTTGGTGATGTCAATGTTCATGTCACCAACTGTCTAACAGCCTATGCTCTAGTCCTGCAACCTTCTCAATGCAAACAGCTCTGATCCAAATGGCCTCTACTCCACTTGAACTGCACCCACACACAGCAAACTCTGATCCTGCCATCATCTAAAATTATTCTACCTCTGAACTTTTAAACTTCAAGAATCTACTGTCTCATAGTAACTTCTGATTATAACCCTATCTTTCCAGTTGTGTTTCCTTACTCTTATACTGCTTCTCTTTTCAAAATAAAATATTTTAAACAGACAAAAGAGAAAAATAAATGAACTCTCATTTACTCACTATCCAACTATCCAGCTTTACCAAATTTTGATACTGTACCAGATTTACTTTAGATCCTTTTCTTTTTTCTTTTTTTTAAATTTTATTTATTTGAGACAGAGAGAGAGTGAGACAGAGAGAGAGAGCATGAGCAGGGGGGAGGGAGGGGCAGAGGGAAAGAGAGAAGTAGGCTTCACAAGAAGTAAGGAGTCTGATGTGAGGCTCAATCCCAGTACCCCGGGATCATGACCTGAGCCAAAGGCAGACGCCTAACCAATTGAGCCACCCAAGCACCCCTAGATGCTTTTCTTTTTTTTAAAGATTTTTTGAGAGAGAGAGCGGGGAGGAGGGACAGAGGGAGAAGCAGAGCGAGAATCTCAAGCAGACTCCCTGCTAAGCATGGAGCCCGATGTAGGGCTCTATTTCACGACCCTGAGATTATGACCTGAGCCGAAACCAAGAGTTGGACCCTCAACTGACTGATCCACCCAAGTGCCCCAACTTTATTTATTTTTTATTTAATTATTTATTTTTTATTAACATATAACATATTATTTGTTTCAGGGATACAGGTCTGTGATTCATCTGTCTTATATAATACACAGCGCTCATTACAACACATACCCTCCCCAATGTCCATCACCCTGTTACCCCATCCCCCCACCCCCCTCCTATCCAGTAGCCCTCAGTTTGTTTCCTAAGATTAAGAGTCTCTTATGGTTTGTCTCCCTCTCTGGTTTCATCTTGTTTCATTTTTTCCTCTCTTCCCCTATGATCCTCTGCCTTGTTTCTTAAATTCCACATATCAGTGAGATCATATGATAATTGTCTTTCTCTGACTTATTTCACTTAGCATGATACCCTCTAGTTCCATCCATGTCACTGCAAAT